CTGTTAATCTAGGGGATGCTAATCACAGATTGTACGATTAGTAGCAGCACAAATTTAGAAATGTGCAAACCCTAATGTGAATGTGATTCCTTCTTCCTGGGCAAGGCCATTTCAACCTCTTAGGTACATTTATTGCCCTGATACTTATGATTATCTTATTATTTTATGCACTGCTCACTTCGACATTCCTAGGCAAATCACCTGACCCTAGGAACCAGTCGACACTACTTTCTCTGAGTAGTGTTCCCAGATGATAATTACTTTGAGTCCCTTGGCAACTTGTTAACAATTACAAACAGGAGGAAGCTTGGCAATGTTTAATAACTATATCCTTAAAACCTAACATGTGTTCCTTACAGAAAAGTACTGTGACCCTGACTCACAACTAGCTTTGACTTTCCCTTTGTGTTCCTTGTCACACAGAGCCTGACCTATGAGAACACAGAAATCAGTGTAAGAACAGGTCCGATTTTTATTGCAGGATTATTTTTTCTCACTGTGCCAGGAAGAGCTCATTATAGGAGTTTTGCTCAGCAGCAAACCTAGTGATAATAGCAAACCTAGTCCCACAGTGTGGCCTCCAAGGACAGCGCCAGAGCTGGGCTCCAGTGAATACCATACAAAGTCACGGGGAGTGTAAAATCCATATAGAAGACCTAATTCCCTAACTTGAGATGCAGTCCCCACACCCCAGGAAAACAGAAACCATACACAATATTATCTTTCAACAATGATTTGATATTCAGGAGTAAGGACTAACTTTGGCTTAGAGATCAGGATATTTGCCATCTTCCCAACAGTAACCTTGACAATGCCAACCAGAAAGAACATTAATGATACTTTGTATTTTATAGGCACTAGTTACAGGCAAGGAAAACAATCTTAAGCATTTTGATCAAGATCACAAGAAGAAAGGAATAGACATCCAGATTTAAAACCCAGTATTTTATATGCAGAATTGGATTCTGTTTCCTGTGGCGTAGTTTGGATGGCTGTGACCCCGAGGACATGGGCTGTATGCACAGCTGGGTCACTTAGCCACAAAGAGAAAGGACTGTCAGGCTTTGCCTTTTTCCTTCGTAGCACACATGGTTTCACAAATGCATGTTATTATTGGTATTTTAGGCAGCTAAACTTTATAGAACATCTCTTGTATTATAGGCTCAGTGCTTGGTACTGAAAATGTAGTCTTAACCTCAATAAACTCAGAATGTAACATGTACACAAACAAACATGTAAAAACTGTGAAAAGAATTATGCTAGAGCCATGTATGTACACGAAGGGAGCCATATCTAACTCAAAATGGGAATTGGAGTAAGCAAGGCTTCCAGAAATCTCCAGATCGCACAAATCCTGGAAAGAAGGAGCAGCTTGTGCAGACAAGCCTGGTGTCACAAAGCACGTGACTGAGCCTAGTGAGACTCTAGAGAATCGATGACCTGTATGTAGAACTGTCTATTTAGATTAAATCAGCGGTGACAAGTAGACAATTCCAGCCACCACTCAAGGCTCAGGTTACCTAACCTCCTCCGAACTGTGGGCTTAGAGTGGATCTGCTGTCCTCACATGGAGGAAAGAGCACAGCATACTGAGGAAAAAGATTTGTGCACAAATTCGTCCCAGCAGGCCTCCCTCTTCCTGTCTTGTTGGTCACAGGAGCCATGAAGTGAAACACAACCTACTAGTGTTCCATTTCATGTTGATTTGTGTTCAAGCAACAGATAGGGAATTTCATACAACATCTTTATTTATCCAAACATTTGGCGAGTGTGGGTGAAGATAACAAGCATTATCTGGGCTGTCTGTGGAGGCTCACCATGACATAAATAGATGTAGTTGCCCGAAAGCAAGCTTTTTATTTAATAGCTGTCTGGAATTCTTTAATCAAGCCAGTGCGATAAACAGGGCTTCTCTCTAACACTCACTGTCAGGCGAGTGTCCCAGTGTTTGTCTCTTCTCACATGTGACATTTTTTTTTCTTGATCTAAGTATAGTATGACTTTTTTCTTTTTATTGCTGTAGGGATTGAAGGGTTTCATTGTAGGGTTTCATGCTCTAATACTAGAAATTGTTGTTAAATCAACAAACCCTGGGGTTCTGAGCTGCTTTCTTGTAAATAAACAGTGGAAAGGGAGGAGCAAGTTGACCCAAAGAGTACTGTGAATCATGCTGGGCTGGGAATTGAAGAAATGGCATTGAAAGAAGGTCAAAGGGTGCTTGTGGGAGGTAGAGGAAGAGCTCAGTCCAGGAACCCTCCTGTCCCATTGGGGAATCAGATCCTTGCAGTTCAGATCTCGGCTCTGTTTTTACTCTGGACGGTGGAGATTCCTATTTTATAAGGGGCATCAGAGAGAAGCTCAGATCCTATTCTGGAGACAGGGTTTGTACCACCTGGACATGGAAAACTGTCCCTCTGTCTTTACGGGTGTGCACGGTGCAGAATGCAGTAGAGACCACGGCCAACTCCTTCCCTGGGGGCTACGGAGAAGTATCGAGTGGCTGGGGCTCTAACGGAAACCCATTTCTCTCCTTTCCTCCCAAAGCAGGTGGCAAGGAAAGATTCTTGATCTCCTCAGAGTTTTCCCCTGCTTGGCAACTGCCTGCCATGCAGCTGCTGTACAGATCTCACTGATCCAATCATGTCACCATTCTGACTTCAATTCTTTGAGACTTGTCATCTGCTACAAGACAAAATCTATACCTCTGAGCAGATGTTTGCAGTTCTCCCCTGTAGGATGTCAGGTCTTTTCTCTCTAGTCTCAGATCCAAAGTCCCAGCTGCAGAATGTTCCCAGATCCCCCATGGTGTGTACATCCATCCTTGTGTGTACGTCCCCTGTAGCTGGATTACTTTCTCACTCTACTTGACTGAGGTCCATTTGTCTTAGTCTGTTTCTGTTTCTACAACTGAGCACAACAGACCAGGTTATTTGTAAAGAATATGGCTTGTTCAGCTTATAGTTATCGAGGTTGGGAATGTCAAGTTGAGGACCACACCTAGTGAGGGCCTTCATGCTGGGGGGGGGGGGACTCTCTGCAGGGTTGTGAGGCGAGAGAGGGCTTCACATGGGTCTTTTTTTTTCTTATAAAGCCACTAATGCAATCATACATGCTCCACCCTTATGGCATCATATTCTGTTACACTACAACATACTGTGCATCTGCCTCCCCTGTTAGAATGCGTCCTCCCCATGGACAGAAACTGGGTTTTTAAATTTTTTATTCATCTTTACATCTCTAAAACATAACAGCATTAGTAATTGGGGTGAGTGGATGAATGGATAATTGAGACTTGATAATGGCATTCATTTTGAAAGACATCAGTAAATAATTTCTGAAAACATACTACATTTCCAGGTCTTGGCCTTTTTTCCAACTTCTTTTCACTCTCCTAAGAATCTCTGCCATGGTCCCCAGTGCAGTCTGTCCCACCACCTCCTGTGTAGCACTGTATGGCTCTGTCTAACAATTTGCACCCTGGCTACTGGAATCACCTACCTAGAGACTTACGCAATCTGCTAATGCCTATACCTTGCCCCACACCAGCAGAACCCAGAATGCAGCCCAGGCTGAGGACCTCTACCCTTTGGCCATAAAAAGTGCCACATCACATACTGTGGGGCAGCAGGCTCTTCAAAGGCAGTTAGTGTTGAAAGCTCTCAGAATCCACAGTGTACATGAAAACTCCAGAAGACAGTCATAAAAAAACAGGGAGAAAATTAAAAAGAAAAATTTTATGTCTGGATAAAGCCTGCCCTGTTGTAATGCCCTGGTCATCTGTATTGCGAACATCTGCTGTGAGGTACTAGATGGACTTCTGCCCTTGGACTTTGGTCTTGGACCCATCTATTATTGCCCAATCTTCCATAAGCCTTTCAGTTGCTCTACTGGGTCTGGGACCAGCGTGCCTTGGCTGGTACTTACCGCTCCGTGGAGCCCAGGTTGGCCACCATCCTTGTCAAACACTGGTGACCCTTAGTTTAATTGGCTTTGGTGTCCTTCCAGGAGTTCAGGCTGAGGTTGGCAGCTGATTACACCAAGGCCTGCACCCACTTGGAGGTCAGCGGGTAATTGCGTGACAGTGAGGATAACACAGCCATGCCCAGGGGCTGAGTGTGCCGTGCCCTAGGTCTTCGTAACGACTCAATTTTGACCTTTTTTCTGCCACTGAGAGACTCTGATGCAGTTTCTACTTGCAAATTTACTCATTAGTCTTATCATCTCCAGCCCTCTTTTTAACAACTTTCTTCTGCCAGGGAAGAAGAGACTTCATTAAAAGCCCTTTAAACCTCCTTTAAACTTTTGGTCATTTTAATAAGAATGCTTGAGTTAGGTTCTTCCCAGAGAAGCTAAGTAAAAAAGCAGTCACTTATTACTTCTCAGGATCACAGAAGGTGAAAGAGGGCATCAGACCTTACCTGTCACAGTGCTTTTCTTTCTTTCTTTCTTTTTTTTTTTTTTTTGTCTTTTTTGTTTTTATTGGGACCAGGGTTTGAACTCACAACTGCCTGCTTGCAAGGCAGGCGCTTATACCACTGAGCTAAATCCCCAGCTCCTGTCACAGTGCTTTTCAAGCCCAGCTGTCTATTTAAACCACCTATAGAGTCTTAAAAAGACATGCTGGCCAGGGGTTTGTCATCTCCAGAAGTGGGGTCAGGCACCATACTTAAAAAGCTCCCTCGAGATTCTATGTGTGGTCAGGCTTGTGGACTATTCACTGGGGAAAATTCTATTTTTATGCTAGAAAATTATCGTTATTTTTCTTTTGATTATTAAAACAATTTATTTTTTAAGCAAATTTTTTTCCCAAGCTGGTTGTGGTGGCACACGCCTGTATTTCCAGCACTCGGGAAGCTGAGGCAGGAGGATTATTGCAAGTTCGAGACCAGCCTGGACTACAAAATGATCTCAAGGCCAAACTGACCTACATAGTGAGACTTGTCTCAAAAAACTACAAAAAGGAAAAAACCACTTTTTTCCAAGTCCATTTTTTTTTTAAGGAGAAAAAGAAAGAAGAAGAAAAGAAGAAGAAAAAACTACAACAAAATTTCAAAACATGTCAATCAGGAGGCAACAATGGTAATACATTGCGCACTGTCATCCCCAAATCATTGACCCAGAGCTCAAGACATCTGCCTTCAATTGTCCGAACAATACCAGGTATGTGAGAAAATTAGGACTCGGGTATATAGGAGCAATTCTGAGTTGTTACCCTGCTTGAATATCCAGGATAGTGACAGTGAATCTTTCAGGGCTTTCAAAGATACCAAGAGCCTGCCACAGCACACGTGCCACAGTTTTGCGCCCACTGGTCTAGGGTGCCAGAGGAGCCAGGACACAGGAAATAGTGACCAGTGACATCCTGTCCTGTTCTGTCCAGCACGTCTCTCTGGACTATGTCCTTGTTCTCTCATCATTTTCCCTCTCCTTGGTTTCAAATTCCTAAGTCAGAAATCTAAGGGAATCTAGAACTTCTGTTCTTTCTAAACCCTTAAACTATTTAATTTACCATTCAACAGGTGAGCTGGAGCAGAGGGTACCTTGCCCAGGCCGCTCTGCAAGTGGCTGTGTCCAGGGTTCTCTTTTCCTCCCTTGTGGCCTCTACCTGCTGAACTTGGGCTGTCACCAGGGGTGGAGGGGGAATTGTCAAGACTCAGTTCAGTTTTGGAGCTGGAAGCTGGGACCCGGGTCTGTAGTAGTATACCTAGGGGAGGGTGGACATTTTCAGGTTTGCTAGGCCTCCACTCATCCTGAAGTTGCTAAGTCATTGTGGTGCTACCATGGGGGTGGAGCAGTAGATGCAGAAGATGTAACTGGGCCAGGATTTGAAGGCAGGATTGAGGCAAGTGGAGGACCCAGGTGGCCAAAGTTCAGGAGGCAGGTGCTCCTGTCCAAGGTCACATGAGGACCTCCTGACACATTGTGCCCTGGCCCTTCTCCTGCCTCACCCTGCGTGAGACAGGAGAAGGAAATCTGAGGCAGGACGAGGAAGGGAGAAGAAGTGGAAAAATTCTACTTTGGGGGGGTTACTGGGAATTGAACTAAGGACCTTGCGCTTGCCAGGAAAAATTTTGTCTTAGCTGAAGAACTAAATCTGGGATTTATTCCAAGTTAAATATAGTTGGAATGGATGCGTATCACTCATAGCCTTTTTTGGGCACCAAGTCCAATTCAAAGACCAGTGATTTTGCAAGAGCAGAAAGTCAGCTGAGAGTCCCCAAGAGGTATCAAGGCATTGCAGAGAAAACTTAGGCTTTGGTCCTTCCTGGTTCATCAGCCTCTGAGAGCCTCCAGGCAAAGGGGACCCCTCCAAACAAAGAACAGGGATGTGTCAATATTTGGTTCCTTGTGCTTGAGAACTACTTTAGAAATAAGCCTGAGCTCTGAGTGTGTGTTTTCCACAGCACAGGGCCAGGAGTGCAGCTCCAGGGCACAGAAGAGAGACATTCTTTCCTCTTGTGCACAAAATCTAAACCTGTGGGTTCTCTCTGACCCCTCCGTCCACAGTGAGAGCTTTATGCCCTTTGTTTCGTGTAAAATGAAAATACCTGGTACAGTTAGCAAGCACTGTGCCACTTAGGAGAGTGGAAATGCTGCCCAGCCCCATCTGCCAGGGGCAAACCCCACAGCCTCCAAGCCCATCTCAGGGCCCAACTGCTCTGAGATGCATTGTCCAGACCTCTGTCCCAGGGAGGGCACCACTGACACTGTCTGCATCTGATAACGAACTGTCCTGTGTTATCTGTGATGTGTCTTTTGCTGTTCTATCAAAATGTATTAATATCCTGGAATAAAGGACATCAATTGAAAAGTTGGTGAGATCTGCATGAAGTCTATAATTTAGTCAATAGTACTCTATTCGTGTTGATTTCTGGATTTGGATAAATGTACCCTGGTTGAATTAGGTGCTAGCACAAGGGAAATCTGGGGGGAATCGGTGCCATCTCTGCTACTTAGGTTTCTGTAAGTTTAACATCATTTAAAAACCGTTTCATCATCATTTAAAAACTGGCCATGGTGGGAAGCTGAGGCAGGATTGCTGTGACTTCGAGGTAAATCTGGGCTGAATAATCCTAGGCCAGCCTGAGCTACATAGCAAGACTGATCTCCAAAAACCAAAAAAGGACTGATCTCTTTTTCATTTTTCTCGGTACCAGGGATCGAACTCACGACCGCCTGCTTGCAAGGCAGGTGCTTATGCCGCTGAGCTAAATCCCCAGCCCCAAAAGGACTGATCTCAAAAAACCAAAACTGAAATAAAGCCAAAACACCCAAACAACAACAACAAACAGTATTTTAACATATGGTTAATGGAAAATATGATGATTTTTTTTAACCATGAAGTATTTTTCCTTTTTACAGTTACTTAAATAAATGGATAGCTTTGACTAAAATGCCTTTATAATCTGCTTTCTGTGATGTTAATATGTGTGTGAGTATCCTTCAGATAACAAGGCTTCTTTTCACATATAGCAAAAATCAGCTCTTGTGTATTGTTTAGAAAAGTCTTGTTTGTTTTCTTAGAGCAATCTGAAGGCCCTAAAAAATACCCAGAGCTTCCTCCTATTCACTGCACATACTGAAGGCCAAAGATTTCATAATTCTGTCTCCACCCTGGCTATTTCCTAGGGCTTTGAAAGAAAAAGAAAAATATTTTTCATAGGGAAAGAATTGTATGCCTTTCTTGGCAAGTTGCCCTCTTCTCAACACTTTATATACTTAAACCTTTGTATAAATAAATGCCACAGATTCAGATCTCACAGAGGAGTGTTCTTATCTGCTGCTTTTCTGGGGTCCAATACAACAATTTTTCTCAAATGTTTATGAATTGAGACCGGCTTGTGCTTTTAATAGAACCAAGTAGATGTATGACCCTAATACGTTGATTTTCCCACATGATCCTTCTGGGGATTCAAGGACAAAGATGATGAGAAGTGAAATGGAACAGGAAAATAAATAGGAGGAGAGGTCACAGTTTTCTAAGAAAAAATGAAGGCTTTGTCTAATGTACTGAGCCAGATTCCATAGGTCTGAGAGGAGCTTGTGAGCCTGCATTTCACCAGCTCTGGGTTTGGCCATGCTAGTGCTCTACAGTGCTCCTTGCAGAGTCCAGCCCCTGGCGGGGGTACATCATTCCAGCAGTAGTGCAAAGGCACAGCTCTCCCCACAGCCTCCCTCCCTCACATTCTGATTCGCTTCCCCAGGTTACCTCTTGGATCACAGACAGTGCTTTTGGGCCCTTGTCAAAAATCGGGACATTTTAACAAAGCTTCCTTCTACATCAGGAATCATCTTCTCTCCCAAATTTCCTCCAGGAGCTCCTCCTTGTACTGTGATTTTTGATTTCTTGATCTTCTCTGCCGCCTTTTCATGGCTTAGATTGACTCAATCAGTGGATTTTTTTGGTTCTTCTTACGCTATTCAAACCAGATTTATTTCTTTAGAGATTGTGATGCATAGTGGTTCCCCCCCCCCAAAAAAAAACAGTCTTCTAAAAACCTTTTCTTTCCACCTAAGAATGGAATTGCAAATGGGATCTCCTTGTGAGGAGTGAGTCCCAAGTAGATGCATCCTAACTATTGCATTCAGTTCCAGACAAGGATTTGTGGTTTCCAGACAATCTGGACAAGCCCTGATGTTTTTCCTAGAACACACTTTTTACAACATCATTGTAAACAGGAATTTTCAAGGTGGCAGTCAATGAATGCTTTTAAAATTCTCCTTAAGGGTCTAATCTCCAAGACTGCCCAGCCTCTTAGGGATCTTACAAGACTTGTCCAAATGTTTGGTTCTCTAGCTTGAAAACAGTAATTTGGGTGTCAGTCACTGAACACACAATGTAATGTTTAACATCATCCCTCCAAATCTGCTGGGACCAGTAAACAATGGTTAAGTCCACAGAGCTAGAACAAACTTTCGTAGCTCTAGGCACCCATTTTACTCACAAACTGTCAAAGCTAGCTTGGTAGTAACCTTCTTAGGTTATTCCCTAGTGTGCCACGTAAAAAATGACACAAGAGATTGCCTAGCATATTAAATCTTCAGCACAGAAAAAAATTAAAAAAACATATTCAAAAGCTGATTTGTGCACCATCCAACAAATGAAATGTTCTATAAGCTGGTGTTTGCACAGATTCATGATGTGATGGTAAATGATGCTTATCATGATAAGCCTGAAGCCCTTGCTCAAGTATCTTCTGAAATACCACAAAGAAAACCAAATTTTGCTTTGTATTTCTTGGTCTTAAATATATTTGAGTTTGTCCTGGGAAATTGGTCTTCTACGCCTAGTGGTGCCTTGTATTTCCAGTTTATCCAGCATTTTGTGGTATTTTTATGTATATATGTGAGACAGGGTTGCACTATGTAGTCTAGCCAGGACTTAAATTCTTGGTATGGTCCAGGCTGGCCTCAGATTCACAATCCTCCTACCTCAGTGCCTGAGGGCTGGGATTATAGGCATATACCACCAGGCCTGGCTTTTATCCAACTTTTTCTTTCTTTTTTTTTTTTTTTGGTACCAAGGATCAAACTTATGACCTCACGCTTGCCAGGCAGGTGCCTATGCCACTGAGCTAAATCCCCGGCTACCCAACATTTTAAAAAAGGAAATATAGAAAATGGAAGAGACGGAGGCAAATATTCATAATTAATTTTTCTCCTCATATGTTACATGAATAACATGAAAATGGTGTTACTTTATAGAGTCACAGCTAATGTTAATACGAGTTGATTCAACAAATATTGGTTAACTACCTTTCTATGGTCATGTCTAGGGCTGAATACTAGAAAAAGGCTGATAGGCTCATGATCCCATCTCCTTAGAGATGTTCATATTCTCATTGCATAGGTGTCAAGGGTACTGGAGCATCCCAGCAAGTGGTCAACTGGAGGTTAGCGAGTGGAGGAAGTGAGCTGATTCTTAAGGATGAAAAGGTAACTTCCAGGGATAGAAGGGCAGGGATTGTTCCAGAGCCAGAAAACCTGAAGAGTGGCTAAAACAGGCTGCACTCTGGATACCTGAAGGTGAGAGCAGGGAGGTCATGTCAAGAGACAAGGGCTGAACCAAGCACTGCTTGTCACAATAATTAACAATGATAATTGGAGATTACCCATTAACAAACAGGAAGTCAAAGATGAATGTTAAGTAGGAACATAACTGCGGTCATAGTATGTGGTAGTTCCAACTTTTGCTCCCCAAAAGGATCCCTTGTCCTCTTCTCTCACTGGTTATTTTGCACCCAAACAAGGTATCTTTTATGCTTTTCAGGTTAATAATCAGCCAGTCCCAGCAAATCCCTCCAAATCTCCCCAGTTTGAGAGGGTCCCAAAACGTATTATGCATTTTATGGCATGCTTTGTTTCAAACTTAATCTGAATGGTCAAACACATTTCTTGGTAGTCAAGATTAAACTAGTGGAGACTTCTTAATCAAAACAAAATTTGAATCTCTGTTCCAGAAGCCAAAGGGTTCTACAACAAGGGTAGCTAGAGATCAGTAGATGTTGTTATAACCACAGGACAAAGTCTTACCTGCTATCTGGTCAGCAGGTGAACTAGCATTAAAATCTAAAATGTCTCCAGTTTCCACTACACTTGGGGGCATGGTCTTCTTATTCAGGCTGTTGGAGGAAGAGTCACAGACATACCCACTTGATGCCTAAATGGGTCACTTCCTGGCCATGCAAGGCCACAGGGACCTGAGATAAAATTGCTCCTGGACAGTTTCCCATCTCTGTCCCCTCTTTGGCTTTCCAAGTGTCCAGTCCAAACCTCTGAAGCTGCTTCTCACAACTGCTATTCAGTTTACGATTAGTCTGTTTTGGTGAACTCCCAGATGAAGCCTGAGGGTGTCTCTTCCCTGGGCGCAATACTTTAGGCCAAAAGACACTCTGTGTTTACTCTAGTCACTCACAGGTTACCACTGCCTGGCCCAGCAGAGAAACAATCATAGCATGACATGTTTGCACACTACTAGGCGAGTAACAATCTTACCCTATTTGGTACATACTTTAATATTTGCTCTGTACTTATTTGAAGACAACCTAGTGTATTTGTCAGAGTTCCCCATATAAGCAAAACCAATGAGATCGTGTGTGTGTGTGTGTGTGTGTGTGTGTGTGTGTAAAGAGATTAAAGGAATATGTGCACATGATTATGGAGGTGATAAGTGCTAAGATTCAACAAACTGATGACCTGGGAGAACCAGGACAGCTGATGGTGTATTTCCAGTCTGTCTAAAGGCCAGTAGGTTTGAAATACAAGAACGCATGTTCCAGGTCACCATTTGAAAGCAGTCAGGCAGGGGTACTCTTATTTAAAGGGAGGGTCAACCCTTTTTTCTCTTCAGTTCAGCTGATTGGATGGAGCCTAACTACATTAGAGAGGGGCATTTGCTTTACCTATCAGTTTAGAAGCTAATCCTCTCTAAAAAAAAAAAAAAAGCCTCTCATTTTAAGGACTGATCTCTATAGGTAGCCCAATGAAATTGACACATAAAATTAATCATACCAATCACATCAAATATATATATATAATTTTTTTAAAATCAGAGATCGAACTCACAACCTCTTGCTTACCAGGCAAGTACTTAAGCCACTGAGCTAAATCCCCAGCCCACATCAACAATATTTGAACATTATCAAACATCAATGATATATGCAGTACACACAGTGTGTATTTACATGGATTCAGAGTTCTGCAAACTTTATTATTTCTATCAGTTAAATTTTTCAGGTACACAGGTGATTTTCTTTTAGGAGCAATGCATTAATTTAAAACATTTTAAAGTTTTTTTTTTTTTAATTTGTTAGTACGCATGTGTAGTACACAGTATTTACATTCCTCGGTGGAGTTGGTCCATGTACATAACAGATCTTAATTCCTTTCTTCATCCCCTTTCCCTTCCCTGTTCCCACTCCATCCAACTCTTGATCACCCCCTTCCTTTTTAATATCCAGATACAATTATTGTCTACCTGTACCTTCATTAATACCTTAATTATCTTTGATTCTTCCCTTGAAGGATGAAAATTTTGCAAATACGTGTTTCATATTTTTTTGAGCTTTTTATCTTATACTTTTTTTGACTTGTCTTGTACCTTCTTGTGTTTAGAGAATAATATTAAAAACTGTCCTTATCAATATTGAGGGCCCCTATTGGGAGGAAAGAGCTAATTGCAGATTATGTTGAATTGGGGTGGAGGGCAAAGGCTACACATCTTCTCCTCTGCAGGAGAGGCGGCCATGATCCAAACCATTAAGCTAAAATAGAGATGATCAGAGCCTGATCAGACCAGGCTATCTGGTCTGTGGGGAATGGTCTGTGTGCTAAGTAGGCGGAACACAGGACTGGGTTTCTAAGGAGAGTTTGGGTGCTCTATTTATTCAACATCTCTATTCAAGGATCTGTCTTCCTGGGAAAAGACTGGAACAGACATGGCTGTAGTCAATGGTACCAGCGTTTGTGGATGGACCTTGGTTCCCACAGAAAGCTGGAAGTGGAATCAGAACTGGAAGTCGTGGCAGAACAGTAAGGGAGATGGCCCGTGGGCAGCGGTTTATGACAGGGAGACTCTAATCTCATGTTCCTGTAGACAGAGATTCATTCTTACCGCAAACTTTCGGCTCCCATTCAAAAGTAGGGAAGGCTCCATACACACCATGAGTGTTGTCCTGCATTGGCTCGAAGGCCAGCAGAATGAACCCCGATGAGCCCACAGAGCTCAAAGCCCAGACAGAAAGCTGAATCCCTTTCTTCCTGTTTGGAGAACTTTCCTCTCCACAACCTGTCTATCCATAGGTACCATTGTCTCCCATTTACATTTTTTACTTTGACATTTACATAAGAGCAGTTGCATGTAGACTAGCTCAGACTAAATCTGATGCTAGTCTAGAAAGTTAAGGGTGTACAGATGAGAAAATGGAGGTCAAGCAGCTTGACCAGTGTCATGCTCAGTTAGATCTCTTTTGTCCCCACTCAAGTCAGGGCTTCCTAGATTCTGGGATCAGGGCCAAGAAGCTTCTGGGGATAAAGCTTCTGAAAATCAGTGGCTCTGAATAAAGATTTCTGTGGCTCTGCTCAGGTCCACGCTGGTCCTTGAGTACCTCATGTGGGCAAGCTCCACAGGCTCCTAGGCTGCTTTGGTCCCCAGTCGCCTAGGAAGCCACTTACAGCCGGATTTTGGGACGTGCCTGCCTTCTCCCGAATGATCCTCCTGAATTGGTGCTGAAAAGCCCTGTCCGACCCTCTTCTGGAAGGGGCCAGTGGATGAGTTATCTCTAGATCTCTTGGGGCCAGGGTTTTGGGGGAGCATTCACTTATTTAGGTAATGAATATTCTCTTTCTGACCTACATTTTGTTCTCTTTCATGAGACACTTTGAGGTGTGAAAAGACACTTTCTCGTATGTCCTTCTAGATGACTTAAGAGTTATGTCTCTCTTGCGGGTGCTAGTCTTGCCCTTATAATGATCCCTCTCAGGAAGCCTTTACTTTTTGTGAGAGGGAGAGGTAAATCTCCAGGCGCACAGGGGAGTGCTAAAAGGTGATGATTAATTCATTTAAAGCCACAATCAGAGTCACAGACAGACCAGAAGGTGCTCTTATTCCCTTTACTCCTAAATTTGGTCTCTTTTAAAAATGACTTGGAGCCTGCATTCCTCTTCTATTCACCAGAACAAGAAGCTGGTTATAAATCTCCTGCAGGGAAAATGTGCCATGAAAATGCTCAAAAGCAACATGATGTTACTGTTTATTTGTTTCCCATGTTATTGAACCCAGCACTTTCACACTGAGCTACATCCCCGGAACCCTTTTTAATTTTTAATTTTAACCTAGGATCTCACTGAGTCATCCAGGCTGGGCCCAAACTTGCAATCCTCCTGCTTTGCTTTCCAAGTTCGTGGGACTGCAGGCATGTGCCACCATGTCCAGCTTCTTTTCTCTTCCTTTGGTATCTTTTCCAATATCCAAAGTGAAAGATTCTGAGATGACAGAAAGATGATTAATCACAGTGTGGGCTTTTGTAAAAGAACATGTTTATTTTTACTCTCCCAAAGGTGATTATAACTTATTCCAAAGGTACTTTAACTCTTGTTTACTTGTATATTTTTCCGATGATGCTGGGTATTGAATCTAGGGCCTAGCATTTGCTGAGCACGGATTCTTCCATGGAGCTATGTCCCTGGGCTCCACTGATAATTCTTAATCTGTAGACCTTGTGTGGAGCACAGGATCGAACTCAAGCCAGCTGCTGTTCCTGACATCTCTCTGCAAGTCCTAATCAACAATGGGTCTTGGAAGCTCAAGGCTTTTTGACTATGTTTGAAAGACAGGCTTTGACACAGGAAATAAATGGCATGCTTTGGATCACATTGTGTCTTAGGGTGGGTGCCCTGAAAGCTGGGAATGTAGCTCAACAGCACAATGCCTGCTTGGCAAGTGTGAGGTCATTGTAGGAGCCCAGTACTGTAGGGGAGAGAGGTGGGTAAAACAGGATGGGTCAGGAGAGGGAGCTGAGCCAGGCTGTGTTCCCAGCTGAGTTCCAGCTTTGATCTAGGATGAGTTGTACCCTGGGACTGGTCCTGTCTCTGGGCAGGGGTGCAGCCTTTTGCACAGGGGGCAGGCACTCCCCATCAGTTAGGTCCTGGTGGGGTGTATTAGATGGGGATGGTGTAAACTCCAGGAAGAGAGGCTCCTGTACAGCCAAGGGCAATGCCCTGGAGAAAGCCACTTGTGAGCCTTCACAGTCCCCCAGGAGGGACACTGACAGGGTCTGCACACACACAGGATGAATAGTGAATAGCATGGGCATAGACATAGAGATTCCTATTATACTTTGGCTTCCTGGAATTAAGATGAGAGGGCATCATTGGGAGATTGATACAAGTTTTCTGGGTCCTGAAGCTTATTCAGATTTGAGGAACCCTTTTTAAGGAAAAGGACACAGAACTGTGAATTCAAAATTAGTTTCATAGCCTGTGCAATGGTAGGTCTTAAAACTGACGTGTGGTTTGCTTATCCAGCTGTGGGTGTTTTAGCTCTCTTAAGATAAAACTGTGTTCAGAGTTGGAAGTGAAATTGCCCAAGAACATCAGTTAAGGAAATGGCTAGAGATAGAGCCCTCTGTGTCTGGCTCATAGTCCAGCGGCTGCTCAGTGATAACACCATCATCCCAGCTGCGGGCGGACCGCAGAGAGGGTCAAGAGATAACAAACCTGCTCTGTGAGGCCTGCCTGAAATGCCATGTGGCTGGAAGACATTATGATTAAACGGGTAAATGATCTGTGAGGTGAAACGCTGCCACTTTGAATCATTTGGTCAAGGGGTTACATAATTTTTCTCTGCTGAGTTTTCCACACTGGCTTGCTAGGTTTGTGTGGTGATTTTTTGAACAGCATCCCTGGCTTGATTCAAAGTCATAAGCTTCCAAAATTAGAATGAGTAATAAATTGACAAATCTCCCAGGCTTGCAGTATCTGCTTGAGTATGTCAGAAAATGGAGGTTTTATCATAGAAAACAATAGCTTCCTCCTTATCTACCAGAGTGAATAGTGGATGCCCAACAACTGTTGTTAAGCAGTGAGTTCAAGGCTGGTCTGAAGCATATACAGTGAGTCCTTGCCTAAAAACAAAAAGAAAGGAAGAAAGAGGAAAGAAGGAAAGAAAGAAAGAAAGAAACAAAGAAAGAAAGAAAGAAAGGAGAAAAAGAAAAGAAAAGAAAAGCAAGATAGTTACTGGCTCTGTTTTCTATTTCCCATCTTGCCTTTTTCCCTAACAAGCTAGTTACTCTCCAATAGACTGTTGCATTTTCAGACCCACCTGACCTTGTGAACTTCCTTCCCTTTAATATTCCAGTGAAGCTGTGGCTTTTAGAAATGTTCAGAACACCCCAGAAAAGGCCTCAGTTGTGTGGAGTAAAGTGCGATTGTCTCGTGGACACTGTGTGCCTTTTCCTGAAAGAGGCTTCGTGGGCTCCTTCCAGTCTTTTAATGGACAGAGTGAAGCACAGGGAGTCTCTGTGGCCTAAGTCTTCTGGCTCAGTCTCAGCAGTGTGCTGTGTCTCTGGATTTGGATATATCTGAATTTGCATTGAGATTCTGCTGCTTGCAACCACACTCCTGAGTAAATTACTGATTCTTTCTGCAGTTTGGACTCAACACCTGAAAATTGGAATTAATATTGTAAGTTGTGAAGGTGAAATAAAATATCATACATAATTTCTCGCCTGTCCATGGTAGACAATAGAAGGAACTATAGTTATATTTTATAATCTCTAGGTGGAGTAATATCACATGAGGCAGGCCGTGGATTTAGTTCAGCGGCACAGTGCCTGCCTGGCAAGCACAAGGTCCTGAGTTTGATTCTTGGAACCCCATATATATATTTGTGTGTATATATATTTATATACACACACACAAATATAATGTGAGACAGATATATGCCAGATTCAGGCTTAGACTACATGGTAGTTAAACTGTGCTGATAAATAGAGGACTCTCAGATTTGAATGTGAAAAATATATTGTTAGCCATACATGGTGGCTCACGCCTGTAATCCCAGCATTCGAGAGACTGAGGCAGGAGGATCACTGCAAGTTTGAGAACAGCCTGGGCTACAAAGTGAGCTCAAGGCCAGCTGAACTGCACAGCAAGACTCCATCTTAAAAAAGCCAAAAATAAATAAATAAAGGGAGAAAATTTTTTTCTGTGTTCAAAAAGCAACGTCTACAGCAATTATAAGGTTACTTAAGACAGGATGGTAATAGCCTTTGAGAATTCTGAGTTTTTAAACTATAATCTGTACAGGACAGCTGAGCTAAGGTTCATGCACAGTGACATATGGACAGGACAATTGTAAGTGATACATACCTGGTGGGTTCTGCTACTCATATGAATGACAGATTAAGAATCATGGAATCATTTAATATAATTTCCAGTGGGCTGGAAGTGCAGGACCCAGCATGGTGCTTATAGCAACACGAGAACTATTGAAAGAGCAGAAATACCATTGCACAGAAATACAATTGGAGAAAGCAGAAGCCTACTGCCTGGAACCAATTTTCTCTTCATCCTTTACACTTGAGCAATTAGGCTCCAGTATAATCTTACAGAGCTCCTTTAATGCTTGCAGAGAGCATCCCAAGTTGGCACACGACCTTTGCCTCCCAGCACATTGACCAGGAAGAATTGCTCCAGGCTTCAGACTGCAGGAAGACAGTAGGTATTTTTTAACTCCTTAGGTCCTCTGCTCAAAGGTCTCAGAGCTCAGCCACTTAAGAGAGGCTTGGGGATTACTCCTCTTGTATTTATGTCGCTGGCTTGACCATGTAGCATGAATGGAATTATAATCGGCATGTTACTAGTATCTCTTAGCCTGTTTTGGCTTTCATACAGTAAGATCATTCTGTCTTGCCTTGCCTTTCCATTCCTCTAAGAAGTATGAAGGGATTGATTAGCCAGAATTTTAAAAATACACTCGAAGAAATAGAATTCCAGCCCTTGAGGGATGTAGATTATGGCGTGGAGCTGGGAATTTATTTGTCTTTGGTGACAGAATCTGCAGAATTTGTGAATCTATAGGAAATCTGGGCTTGGTCTAGGGGAGGGGAACACTGACCCAGAAATAAGGAGAAAGAAAATGGCTCATTTCACGGGAAGGCTATTTCTCTGAATGGTGTCTCAAGTCCCGAGGGTGGGGAGGGGTGGGGTGAGCCACGTGAGTGTCTCTCTCACTTAGTACTTTGTTAGTGAAGCTGCTTTCTGCCTGGCCTTGGGGAAGCCAAGCTGAGGCCCAGGAAAGGTTGGCAGGGATGGAGAAGGGATGGGTACAGATGTGGGTTGATGGTATGGCGAAGTCCAGAAGACAAGGAGACAATGTTTTTCAAGTTCCTCGAATTTTATTGATTTAAAATATAGTTTTCCAAAGCCAGACTTGGTGGCTCATGCCTGTAATCCTGGCATTAGAGAGGCTGAGGCAGGAGAACTGTTGTGAGTTCAAGACCAGCCTGGGTTACAAAGTGAGCTCAAGGCCAGCCTGAACTGCATGGCCGGAACTTGTCTCAAAAAGACAAATAAATAATTAAATTAAAATATGGTTTTCTAGCCTGGGCTGCATAGTGATGTGAGGCCAGCTTCAATTTGTAGTGAGACCCTGTATTAAAAAATAAAAAAGAAAGAAAAGAAACAAGACAAAATAAAGAAAAAAATGGCTTTTATTACCTATAGTTATACATTTAAGATTAATTCCTTAAAACTGAAGTAAATCAAGGGCTGGTGGTTTAACTCAGTGGCACGAGTACCTGCCTGGCAAGTGCAAGGTCATGAGTTCAATCCCTGGTACCAAAAACAAAACAAAACAAAACCAAAAAGCTGAAGTAAACCATACACTTATGCTAACATATGAAGCAAAAAGGAAACAAGCCTTTGGAATATCATAATTTTTTGGTTTTTTGAGCCAGGATCTCACTATGCAGTTCAGGCTGGTCTTGAACTCACCATGTAGCTGGGGCTGTGCCTGAACTCACAGCGACCCTCCTGCCCCAGCCTCCCGAGGGGTGGAACTAGAGTGTGCCCACCACACCTGACCCTAACTTTGCCTTTTTTCTTTCTTCTTTTCTTGTTCATCACAGGATTCTAGGGTGTGACCTGCAGCTGACAATCATTAAGATGTTATATTTAATGAAGCACCTGACTAAAGGCTTCAGAGAATAGCTTCAAAGCTAGATGCAATGAACTCCAAGATTGCAAAATGTGTTGTCTGCGCTTTTGTCTGTAGCCTGTGACACTGCTTGCTATAGCCAAAATAGAACAACAACAACCACCAAATCCTTCTTTCAAAGCAAAAGAAGAATATGGGAAAAGGGTTAGAAGGTTTGGAGTTTCTATCTGTGCTCATTTCTCTAACATTGGCCAAGATATAAACCCCTCTCATGTAAAACAGAAAACATGGGGCTGGGGATTTAGCTCAGCGGCATAAGCGCCTGCCTTGCAAGCAGGCAGTTGTGAGTTCGATCCCCGTTACCGATAAAAACGAAAAAAGACCAAAAAAAAAAAAAAAACAGAAAACACACAGGCAGTCACCCTCTCTCAGTGGGTGAACGTGAGGACTATGATTAGAAACTGTTGCAATAGAGGAGGAGCACTGGCCTGGCAAGCGCAAGGTCGTGGGTTCAATCCCTGGTACCAGAACAAAACAAAACACCCAAAGAGAGAGAGGTGGAAAAAGGGAACAAAAAGGTAGATATCATGATTTGGGTGACATACTCGGGCATGGCCTCCACAGAATAACGCCCTTCTTTCCCCTACATCCTTTCCTAATTCGAATCAGATTGAGACAGATAATCTGATCCAAATCCGATACCCAGTTCTTTCACTGTATAAAAATGTCTTTCTCAGCCCGGCATGGTGGTACACACCTGTAATCTCAGCATTCAGGAGGCTGAGACAGGAGGATCACCATGAGTTCGAGGCCAGCTTGAACTGCATAACAAGATCCTGTCTCAAATAAATAAATAAAATAATTTTTGTCAAGCATAGCTGTCCTACTAAAACAGTTATATTTTTGAGGATCATTTTGATCTGGTCTTTTCTGTGGTTTTCACTTTAGCTGTCTGCTCATTACGTTAGTATATCCACAAATTCAGTGCAATAAATCCCAGTAGAGTTCAAACTCTGAGAATAAGAATCTTTGTCTATCATGTTCATGGCTATGTCTCTTTGCCGCATAATAGATGCTTGACATGTATTTTTCATATGAGAAAAAAATCACTGTTGAGCAAAAGATATGTTGACAGAAATTGGTAAAGGGACATCACACTTCTGAGCTGTGATCAAGTCCTTGAAGCTCTGGGTTGTCCATGGAGGTGTCTTCTGGGATTTGGGGGTCTCCCCCTAGGTCAGCTCTGATAGAGCTACAGACACAGAGTCCATCCAGAGTATGTGGCTGGATTCTTCTTCTTCCTCCTTGTCTTCCTCCTCCTCTTCCTCCTCCTCCTCCTCTTCCTCCTCCTCCTCCCCCCTTCTTCTTCTTTTTCGTTTTCTTATTCTTCTTCTTCTTTGTACTGGAAATCAAACTCCGAACCTCTCAAATAAATGTTGGGATTACAGGCATGTGCTGCCATGCCTATGCTATGTGGTTGGATTCTTAAGACTACTTACAAGAATCCATAAAACCCAAAAAGCACATCTATTCAAAAGAAACACAGCCCTCCTTGCTATAAGCACCAGAATAAAACTTTTCCTCGTGATCCTCACAGAGAGCATGTTGCATTAATGACCTTGCCATGTTGTCACCACGTCCCCAACGAGACAGTCAATGACAGTTTCTGTGGCTATTTTAGGACAGGTGGGTGCTGCTCCCTGGAGGTGCACTTGGAAATCCTTAGCCTACCTGTGGATGTCCCAAGGGTGGCTCCCTCCTTAACTATTGCCTCCCTTCCTGGTTGACCATGCGGAATGCCCTCTGGGAGCAGTTGGATGCCCTGGGGGAACTTCATTCTTGATTAGAAACAGCACTAGAAGTTAAAGCCACACTGACACACACTCTGTACTTTCTCCCTGGCCTACTTCTCACCCCCAAAGATGTTACATCTAAAAGATCATTCCACCTAGAGGGAACCCAAAGGGATGGAAAAATGACTTCTTATTTTCTAAAATAAGTGGATGGAAAAATGAAAACAAAACTAAACAACAACAAAAACCCAGCAACCACCATCCAATTTGATGCTGGTGACCTTTATTTCCTTGCAAATTTAAACATCATTTGCCTAATAAAATGAAGAGTCCATATACAGGACTGGGTCTCACAAAAATACAATTTTTCCTTCTCTCTAACATATTTTTCTGGGGTGGTACAGTACTGGAAAAGTCACTACTGTAACTCAAAAGGAGCATGTCTAAAATTCCTGGGCCCATGGAGAATCTTGGGCCCAAGAAAGTATTTTTCTTTGGAGCAGCAAAATACATTTCAGACTGATCATTTAGTCATTTAAAGTCCCCAAAGCTAGAGCCAGAATAATTAGGGATGCTGGCAGGGTAGCAGGGAAAAAACCTCTCTCCCAAGGCCTTGTTCTGTTCCTGTGAGACTGCCAGTTCTGCCCTTGGTCCAGTGAGAGACTGTGTAATCCTGACACCCTGGGAGCATAGCAGCCTTGAAAGAGTTTGCCTCCTTCAACCTGGCCTGGCAGGTCTTGAAAACAAAAAACCACTCGACTGTCCATAAAACCAGCTTGGAGCACATTCTGATGGATTTAAAGTTATAATTCACTCACCTACCTGACCTGGTGGCTACGAAGTGGCTCTTTACTCTTTTTTGTTTGTTTGTTTTTGAGACAGGATCTCACAGTGTAGCCCAGGTTGGCTTTGAATTAACTATGCAGCTCAGGCTGACCTCGAACTTATGGCAATCCTTCTGCCTCAGGCTCCTGAGTGCTGGGATTGAGGGCATATACCACCATGCCTGGCTCCTTTCTACTCATTTGTATAAATAGGATTTCTGAGATATGTTTGGGTTTTATGTTTTCCTTTCCTTCATTGTAACAAAGAAGACATAAAGGACGTGCAAGTTCCCATGAGGTTGGTAGCACAAGCTGTGAACTGACTTCAGCATCACTGCAAGTGTGGGTCACACTGACCAAAGAGCTTCCGGCCAGGGCGGGTGAGGGACCCTGGGGATGGATGCCTTTCCCTGTCCCAATGGGGTAGGAAAGCTCTAATTTCCCCTCTGGCCTCATCAAATAGACTTGCCTCTCTCCTACATTATGATTGAAAGGAGTTAGGAAAATTCTGTTCCCAGTTCTTTATCTTTTAAATGTCTTCAATGTTAGGTCTTTGTTTCCTACTGAAAACTGTTTTAAGAGTACCCTGAGGGTTTTGCCTGAAACATGACCAACTGTCTAGTAGGGACAATGTCTAGGGGGAAGACAAAGCTCTTGGAGAAGAACCATCAGGTGGGCTGGAAGACAGGAAGAACAGGGTGTTGAAAGGGAAGGAAATATTTTATCTGCAGATGGTCCTGACTCCCCAAGCCACTAGCAAGACAAAAACAAGGCTACTGTGCCCCTGCTGAGTTGAGGACATAGCAGGATGGGGAAGGAAGGAGAGGACAAAAAGGAAAGGAAGGAGAAAGGAAGCAGAAAGAAAGAAGAAGGTGTAGCTTCAGAGTTCATCAGTGGGCCGTGCCTTGTGGGCCCAGTGACGGCTGCTGACTGCTGGTCCATGACAGTGGTGAGGTGGCATTCATCTGGCCAGGGTCACAGGGTTCAAATCCCTGTCCTGTAACAACAGCCTGCATGACCTCTGGAGTTTTTTATCCATAAGAAGATGAGGTTGGCCACATAGTCCAAAGGTTGCTTCCAACTGGCACAGTGGCTGTGTTGTGAAATGGGTGACTATTTTAACCGGCCAGGACTCCACTACCCGGAGGCGGCCACGCCTTACCCGGAAGATATCCTAATTAACCCAAGGGGGTGTATACATTCCCCAGCCCCAATGCTGAGTCTCTGTTGGTAGAAAGTTCATAGGAAAAGTGCTTGGAAATTGTAGCTCAGCTCAATTCCTTTTTTTAACCTTGAGATAAGAATGTCTTTGTTTGGGTCTCCAGCAAGTCTCAAGTTACATAACTCACTTTTACTAATACTCTCCCTGACTGTTTTACATTCAGCTTTTTACTTGCCCTGGTTTGCTGGCTTTAATTAAATAGGTGGCCTTGAATTTATGCTAATTTTTTTCTCTTTCTCTTCAGATCTTGACAGAATAATAGCATCAGTTTGTTTAGTAAACACAGAGACCAGTTCCACCATTCAGGGCCTGACTAATGGCCTGAGAGGACTCTGTGAAAGCTTTGGGCTTGGTTCAGGAAAAGCTTTCAAGAGAACAGCCCAAAGCCATTTCCCTTAGCAAGCCAGGCAACTTTATTCTGGTTTGTGGAGCAAACTCCTCCCCCACCCCAAAATTCAGCATCTATTCTTCTAAATGGGGGGTCCTGAGGATGTGCCCAGAGTAGCTCCCATTCCCTGCCCTATGCCCTTTAAAACTGTTTTCATGATGTATTATATTATTTGAAATGATCATATTTACATATTTTTATTGATTATCTCTGTCCAGCAACAAGCCCCCCCAGCACTGGAGTATGTGAACTCCCTGAAGAGCAGGGGTTACTGTACCCACAGTTACGCTTTGCACAGGGTCAGGGCATGATCATGCAGCCTATGACCAAGTATGGGCTTGGCAGTGGACTTGCTGGGACAGGGGCATCTATAATAACAAACTTGTTTGGAGATACATTTGTCACTGGACAGGGTCCGAGCAAGTCCCCTAGGTCAGTGATAGGGAACCTGGACTTGCCCCTCTCATAGGGTGGACCGTACTGATATAGGAGAAACAGAGCTCCCACCCTGCTAGATGTCAGATGCACTGAGTTTGTGTTCCCAGAGATCGAAGAGTGAATTCTAAGGAAAAATGGAGGGTTAGGGTAGGAAAGGTTTATTGAGAGAGAGTTCCTGACAGGAGGGGGGCCCTAAAGTGGGTTGCAACAGAGGTCATTTCTCTATAGGCTGAAATCATGACATGGGAGCAATGTAGTTTAACTAAAATCAACCAACAAAATTACAAGTATAAAAAAAAAAAAGATTACAAGCGTAGTTGCTTAACTAATATCGATCCAATAGGGGAAGCGGGCATAAGGCACATAACAAGGTATAAGCTGATGTTAACCTGATGTTATCTATGATTTCTAAAACAGGAACATTTGGGAAAGGAATGGGTCTAGGTGTTCCAGTCACCCATCTGGTTATCTGATGCATATTTGGGTTTAATTGGCTAGGAAGAAACAATTCAGAGTAGTCTTAAATTTCCTTTCATCCCTTAGGGAGGTATGCTAGTCTGGCCATTGTGACTTTATCAAGAGGCCTTGCCGTCTCCCAGATGTGCCGCATCACTGTTTTGCTATGTTCTTATCTTCTGCATTGACTGCCTTGTCTGACCACCTATGTATTAATTTTTACCTAACTTAGCTGCCTAGAATAACATTGTTACAGGCAGCTGAGTTAGTTAGAAATATTATAGGCAGCCAGACAGGGCTGGGCCCTCCAAGGAGCCAGGGCAGATGTTCAGATACCTTGCAACCTTGGGAGAGAGAAACATCTCCGCTGTGGGCCAGATCTCAAGACAAAAGGCAAAGCACCCACATCCTCAGGATTGATAGTCCAAATAGTTCTTTATCACCCTAAGGAAGTGAGGAGTCACCATTCCAACCCCCTCCAGGAAGAGTTACTGCTAACCCTCCCCTGATTGTTCCTGATACAATTTTACTTGAGCAGTTAATCTTATTGGTTGACCACAGTTCTGTCCTACCTTAGGCTGACCTTGTAAATTCCCAGTCTACTTTGGATTCATCTGATCTTGTGGTTTTACTCTATAAAAGTCCCCAGAAAAGACAGAGTCCTTAGCAGCCCTCTTGAGACCCTTCTGTTACTCAGACAGTAGTTTTCTTTCTCTTAATAAAAATATCCTGCTCTTAACCTCTCTTGTTCCTAAAATTCTCTGATTTTAGAAAACATGATCTTGTGTGGGACACATGGTAAGTTGGGAGTTTCATTGCCCCTATATCAGTATCACAGAAAAGGAGTTTGCAGGATGCATCAGGAGAAAGTATTTAAAAAGTAAAGTCTTAAAAAAATACAGTGTGGGTACTCAAAAGGTGAGAGGTGCATAATAGACTTGAGCTGGTGTGTTTTTGTGTGGTAGAAATGGGTGGAATTGGTGACTCTACAAAAAGTTTAGGCTTGGCCCACCCATAGGCAGAAAAGTAATAATAGCTCATCTTATAAGAGAAAGGTACAGCCCGATTTAAATTATTTTATTTTTTAAAAGATAGATGGTATTTTGCCTTGGAACATTTTTTGAAACCTTTGAACTTGTTTCTCTTAAGGTAAGGTTTCTGCCTTTTAGATGATCAACTAAGCTAACTTATTGACTTAGAGTACAGTATCTTTTTTTTTTTTTTGTCCTTTTTTGTGATAGGGTCTCGCTATGCAGTTCAGGCTGGCCTTGAGTTTACTTTGTAGCCCAGGCTGGTCTCGAACTCTCAACGATCCTCCCACCTCAGCCTCCCGAGTGCTGGGATTACAGGCCTGAGTCACCATGCCCAACTTTAGGGTAAGTAAAGGATTTTGATATGATTGACCTGGAAGAAAAACAGAACAAACAAGACTAGAATACATATATGGGTAACTTTGGATAAGCATGTGCTAAAGTCGAGGTCTTCTTAAAAGTACAATTTTTAAATTATGACTTTCCTTATCGTCTTACTATGTATCTGTATTTCTTTTATCCTACCTCATGTTGGCAAAATTAGAAGTTTTGTGAAATCCAACTTTCTCTCCTATGGGTGTTTGTATTACCTTACATATTGAACTCGTGGTCAAAATGAAGTGGTAAACCAGGAGGAGGGGGTTAGCAGAGTTTTATTGACGACACAAAGAATAGCTCCAGGGTTTCCGGAAGTGCCCTGAATGGATGGCCGATGGCCATGGCTTCTCAATGCAGAGCTATTTATAGAAAAGCAGAGCATCAGAATTGCTCAGTTGTTCAGTGGTTGCCTGTCACAGGTGGCTCTGCAGATTTAAAATGACCTTTTGGAACTCAGGCTCTCTAATCTTTACAGTTCTTCAGCATGCAGGGTTTAAAGGAAACTGGGATTTTAGAGGAAAAACTGGTTATTTGGCATTTTAAATTCCTGAAAACCAGAGCTCAGTAGGGATGGCTGCACAGGGAAGGGGCTCCATTCCATGTTGCCAGAAGAAGTGGGACCCCAGGTCCCACTTCACCTGGCCTAGTCAAGGGAACTGTACAAGGGCTCCTCTTCAAAATTTCCTGTATTATGGTAATGCTTTTAACTGTGCTCATTTTGTAAGGGCCCTTCCCCTCGTTCCTGGAGTGTTTCTATGTTATGATAAACAATTCCTTTGTCTCAACAAATCTGTTTAAGACTAGCCTGCGTGCTGGTATATAACTCAATACATGTAACCAATTAGGTAATGTTTTGTCTATTGTTTTGTACCTCCCACTTCTAAATGCTATCTAAACTAAACTCTAAATTAAGAGCTGTTGCCTTTGTGGAATTATCCCACAGGCAGTCCACTGGTGTGAAGATTCAACAGTCTGCAGGGTAAAGATTAAATGTTGCCTCCTTATCACCTCAGTGCAAAGAGTCTTTCTTTGATTTGGCTTTGGAATTTCCCCCCAATCAGAGGTTGAGAAATTTTAACTTGGTAGAACTTGATAGGAGGAGGAGGAGAAAGTATTTGAGGCAAAAGGAACAGCATGCATGTGCAAATATGTAGACTCACAAGAGAATCTTGTGTGGCCTGGTTGGGGACAAATAGGTGGAGCTGTGTATAGGTGCAGGCAAAGGGTTATAGTAGATGGGGGAGAGGGAGAAGGTCAGGCTTGAGGTTGGAAAGGGGTGGATTTTGGAAAGCTGAGCTCAGACCTTGAGTAAGAGAAGTGAGTAGAGTAGCACATGGCCATGTCAATGTCATGTTACATCCCTGATAGCAAGACTGGCTGGGAGACAGTGAGTTTGCACCCTGGGCCTCCTCCATTGCATCCTGGAGGACAAGTGGGCTGGAAGAGTGTAAGACAGACTGGAACCCCAAGACCCAGGACAACAGCCCAGTGCACAGATACACACAACTCTGGAGGATGAAGTAATCAGCAAGGCCAGTAACATGGAAGTGGCTGAAGCAGCGGTAAGGAAGGAGTCAGCAGTTGGGCTCTGGAGAGTGTGATAGCTCAGATCCCGGAATAAAACTCAAGGAAGCAAGAAATTAAAATTTGGGGAGCAAAGGCTTTATTTTAGGCCAGGCCTGGTGACACAATCTTCAGGAGCCAATTTGAAGACTGCGCACCTCACAGCTGGGAGATTAGGCTTTTAAAACTGAAAACCACAGGAATGTTATAATCGCTGACACAGTTAAGTAGCATCTGGGCTTTACAGAACTTCCTGTAATTTCCTTGAAGTTAAGCATTTCTTAAAGAACAGCACATTTTATTACAGATAGCTGGATGAGAGGTAGGGAAGCGGGTTACAGGAAACTGATACCTAAGGCTTTACAGCTTTCTCAGGAAATTGAAACTTAACCTAGAAAGATAGGAAGGGAAGGGGGGCTGAGCGGTGCATACAGAACAGAAATGAGGTGCAATGGTTAGAACTAGGCTATAACAGAGAGCACCATCAACAGAAAACCATTCCCAGCCCCTACATCCAAAGGCCAAGATTGGCTCCATGCCCAGCGCAATTCTGAGATCTAAATGAGCATTATCAGACAATTGTAAACACCAGAAGAAGGTAGGTTCTTGGGATAGCTATAAAGAACCAACTACATCTGAAAGACATCTCTGAGGAAAGGACATCTCTTTGAGAGAGACCTCGGTGCTGGTAATAGAGCTGTTGTCATGGGAGGCTGGTAGGCATCAACATAGAAAACAAAATCAAAGAAAAAAAGAAGGTGGAGAATGGCAAAGTGTAGAGGGGGATGCAGCCCTAGACCCCCAGCCCACTCAGGACAGGCCCAGAACTCAACGAGACAGATGAAGGTGGAAGTCAAACACTGGAACTTTCTGAAGGACAGCAACAGAAATGGAAAAAAAAAAAAAAAAAACAAACAAGTGACAAAGGGTATAGAGAAAATGATCTCACAGGAACCCAAAGAAATGATGCTTAAAATAAAAGATATTAGAGAACACATAAATAAAAGAATAGATGAGCTTAGAAAAAGATGGAAACAAAAAGTACTCAACATAGGAGAGAAATAGAATCCATGAAACATACAAAAAGAGATCTAGGAGATTAAAACTGTCACCAAAAGTATAATGCAACAGATCAAATGAAGGAAAGGCTAGAATTTCAGATCTTAAGCAGAATTGCAGTTAGTGATCATGAAAAGAAAGATATCCTTAAAATAGCAAAAGACCAAGAGACATCAATCCAACAGCTACAAAATGAAGCAAAAAATAATAACACAAGATTGTGGTCAACAAGCATTGAGATAGCTAGAGATACCACAGATGCCACAACAACCATAAATATATATGCTCCTAAAATGGGAGCACCCAACTATATAAGACAATTATTGGTAGATATGAAAAATCAAATAAGAAGTAACACAGTTGTGACAGGATACCTCAATACCCCATTGTCTGATTGACAATGATCAACTAGACAGAAAATCAGCAAAGAAGTATCAGAGCTGAATCAAATCCAGATTTAATAGGACCAAATGGTTGAACCAAATGGACTTAATAGGAAGAAGCCATGCCCCAAGGCCTCACACCAGTGGCCTGGAGAAACCCAGTGAGCCCACTGTGTGTCTGGGAAAGAAGCTATGTCCTAAGGTCCCACTGCCATCAGGGGAGCACCTGTGAACCACCACCCCATGCATCTCCAACACTCCAGGAATGAGGAATCCAGGTGTTTGTCCAATCACCTACACTGAGGGACTGGCATCGAAGGGGAAGCACCTGGGATGCAATAATGGGCTGATCTGGAGAAACACAGGGAAACCTCAAGATGAAGAAGCAAAATACAATCTCAGACCTCCAGCCCACATAGAACAAGTTCAGGAGACACAAACACGGTAGAAATTAGAAGTCACACCCCTGAAACTTCTGAAAAGATAACAATTGAAAAAAAGAAGCAATTTAGTTCTTGTATTGATTGGTTAATTTTACATTCCTATGTCTGATGGTCTGGACAGTTATGTTGAAGATAACAAGAGGTATTACGGTAGCCATTGTTAATTCCCTATTATCTTGTTTTGAAGTCCTGTATCATTTTCATTGTTTTGTTTTGTTTGATTTTATTATACCTGAAGGTATGGGCAGCTGTTTTGAAGGTAATGAGATATATTATGGTAGCCATTGTTGATTTCCTATTATTTTGTATGGAGGAACTTATCGCTTTCAATGTTTTATTTTAATTGGTTTTATTCTGTTTTGTTTGATTTTTTTTTAGGTCTCCAGGTATGGGCAGCTGTTTTGAAGATGAAAAGAGGCATTGTGGTAGCCATTGTTGATTTTCTATTATCTTGTTCTGAAGTTCTATATCCTTTTCATTGTTTTGTTTTGATTGGCTTTGTTCTGTTTTGTTTGGTTTTATTCTTTTTTAAAAAAAATTGTAAATGTCAATGCCAGTTTCCTTGGACTGAATGGAAAGACTCAAAGTCTATCAAAGGGAGGCAGATTTAGAAGCCTCCAGGCCGTGACTTGTTGCTAAAGCTCTGACCTAAGACGTTGGCCAAGTCATTTGGTTACATGTAGGAGAGAGGTCTGAGGGTAGCTCTCCTAAAGGAAAAACGTGAAATTTGATGATAATAGTTCTTAGATGCCCCTGTGGCTTCATACAAGGAAGATACTCTGTATCTATACTTCATTCTGTCGTAGAGAGCTAAATTAGGTAGAAATATAGTAGGCAGTCAGAGAAGGCTGGGCCCTGGAGGAGAGGAGAGTGCTTGAGAACTGTGGCTGGAGCTGTATTTGAACATTAAAGTCACAATGGTTAGCTTTACATACTTCCCTGAGGGGTGAATGGAGGCTTGGAATTTTTGGTATCACCCTTTTGAGATTTTCCATTACCTCATTAGAGGTAGGCCTTTCTCTCCCATCTACTAAGACTAAGACTGAGATGAAGGCTAAAAACAAGACCAAAACTGTAGATAACTGACCAAGGACACGCATATACCATTGCTACCATTGGATCAATTTTACCTAAGCAGCCATACTTGTAATCTTATTGGTTGATCATAATTTTGACCCACATTGTACTCACTTCATGATTTTGCTCTACGAAACTTCCTTTGAGAGATGGGCTTGTTGGCAATCCATTTGGGCCTCCTTTCATCTCTCAGGAGCTAGTTCTACTCCCTGTTCCCCCATTCTTTTTTTTTTTTTTTTTTTTGTCTTTTTGAGACAGGGTCTCACTTGAGCTCACTTTGTAGCCCAGGCTGGTCTCGAACTCACAACGATCCTCCCACCTCAGCCTCCCAGAGTGCTGGGATTACAGGCGTGAGCCACCACACCTGGCTTGTTCCCCCATTCTTATTCCCCATTCTTTTCCCCCTACAACATTTCCCACTCTTAACTGCCTTTGCTTCTTAGAATTCACTTTTTTTTTTTTGCAGTACCAGGGATTGAACTCACTACCTTGCACTTGCCTGGCCAGGTGCTTGTGCCACTGAGCTAAATCCCTGGCCCTAGAATTCACTCTTGGACTTTAGGAGACATGAACTCAGCATAGTTGACACCTACCATTTCCCCTGTGCCAATTAGCTTCACAGGGAAGCCATCTCTGGAAAAGGGGCACAGTGTTTGTTAGGTCAGACCTGGTTTTATGATCTCACAAAGTCTTTTGCTGCCATTCTTCCTGTGCTATAAGCAAGTCTTGGTCCTGTGTTTTCATTTTCGTCTACACCTTCTCCCCAAGAGGCTCCATCCCCTATTACAAGGCGTGATACCCTTTGTAAGATGGGCCCTGCCTGTCTTTTGACCTCCTGTCTCACCTCTTTCTCTCTGCCCAAGTGACAGCAGCTTTAGGCCGGTGCTCAAGAGGTCAGGCTGCCTCCCATCTCACGGCCTTTGCTTTGGCCAGTCATTTACCTGGTGAATCTCTCCCTGGAGTTTCACCCCATGGTCAGCAGGCAGCTCCAGTGCTTTCTTCTCAGACAGAAGATTCTCACAGCCTACAGAAACCTGCTAGTTAGGATATAGGGATGGCATAAAGGACTTCCAAATGATATGAGAAAATATTGTAACTCCCAACCTGCTAGATGTCCCATATGCTGAGTTCACATTCCTCAAAATCAATAAATGGATTCTTTATTTTTGGTCTTTTTAAAACAAGGTCTCACTATGCAGCTCAGGCTGGCCTTGAACTCACTTTGTGGCCCATACTGGCCTTGAACTCACAGTGATCCTCCTGTCTCAGCCTTCTTAGTGCTGGGATTACAGGTGTGCACCACCACACCTGGAAAAATGGAGGTGAAGAGTAGGAAATATTTATTGAAGGAAAGCTAGCTTTTGCCTAAGAGAAGCTCATGGGGGCCTGGAAAGTGGGTTGCTCATGAGCCCCCTTTTCAGGGGAAGTTTTATAGAGCAAAGTCACAAGGTGGGACAAAACTGTGATCAACCAATAAGAAGG